TCCCTACATCACTACACAGTGATAAAGAAGGACTAATCCAAAGTAAAACTACAGTTTTTTGAATGACATTATTATTATTTTAAAAATTAGAATACTGTTCTGCTAGCAATATTCCAACTCGTGCTTTAACTATAAATTTCTTAAAACTTAGCTTTACTCTGCCAACTTTCTAAAACACATGTTTTAGCAAAAATATGATAATGAACAGTTGTACCCTTTTGATATTTAATGTGATTTTGAGGTGTTTGGTTATTCTGGTCTTGTTCATCACTGTGGTTTACATGAAGAGTTAGAGCAATTCCTTTGTCTTTGTCATTCCATTTAGGAGTGTTACACTCTTTTTGATCTTGGCTGAGATGATTTTGCTGAGAGGTCTGTAATACCGTATTACGCTTTCCAGACTCACAATCTGCAGGATATGAGTTACTTGGTGTGAAGAGAGATCCACTGGATCCACTTTGATCTGCACAGTAATTGATATTAGAAAACAGAAATATTATTTCATTGTAAATGTTAACAGTAATATTTATTCTTTTCCTCCTTCATCATCCTCCTTCACTACATTGGTTAAACTTACCTTTTCCTCTAAACGGGATCTGTTTTTCTTGAATCCTGTTGTTATGGTCTTGCTTATATTTTGTGTGCAAAACTGTATCAGGTTCTTTTTCACCCCATTCCACAGGACTGTGCACTTCCCGATTTTCTACCTGATGACTGTTTTGTATGCTTTCTAAAACTTGTTTGCTTTTTTCAGATTTTTGTTGGGGAAGACTGGACAATCTTAATCCATGAGCAAACCTACTAGCTTCTGCATTAAAGTGATGTCTTTGTTGAGTTGATGATGATAATGGATAAACATCTTCAAAGTATTCCACTCCAGGTAATAAATATAATTCAGGATAAAGTGCCTAAAATATGCAGTATATTCATCAGACAGGACAAAAGGGGAAATGGACGATGTAAAAAGTTTCTGAAAATGATACCTTAAAAGCCATTCAATACCTACATAGGGAGGAGCAAATGACTTCAGTTCCAGTTCTGTTTCTTGCTTTGCTTTCACCTTGGAAGATAAAGAATGGAAGTGTAACCAATAAAAATACTTTCTTATCACTAATGTTGCATGTCACATAATTTCTGTATTCTATCATCGTATTTACATACTACATTTTTTCATAACCAGTACTGTCTTCTGCAATGGTCTCATAGGGAAGAAGGAACATAGACTACTATTTTCTGACGTGGTACCGAAACTTTATTTTGTCTATTTTTCAAAATATCAATCAGACTCACAAAAGTGCATGGATGTACTGAATAATATTTTTTATCCTTAGCCCTTTCGCTTATGGTTCAAAGCACCTGATCCAACAGAAGAAGGTCTTCGACTTTTTTTAGCAAAAATTGCTTCAAGCTGCATCTGAATAGAAATGCTGGATCTCACATAATTTTCTCTACTCACCTGATACAATACTGCAAAATATGTATACATATTTAAAAAATCTATTACTGTCCTATGTCTTCTTGTATTTATTGTTTGTCTTTATATTCTTTGTGTGATATACACTTTCAGATTTCAACAGTCATCCTAAAAACAAAGTCTAAGATAATCAATGTATGTTTGAAAGATGTGCTCCAACAGAAAAGAAAAAAAAAAAAAAAGAAATCTGAGCTTACATCTAACTAATGAAACTGAACTAAACATGGGGCCAAATTCTAGTCTCAGTGACAGCCAGGCAATGCCTTTGATTCATATTAGAAACACAGGCTATATGCAAGAAAAGGAAGAGCAAATTAACATGATTTTGCTTTATGTTTATTTTTCATTTAAAGGCCTTTACTTGCAAGTAGGGCACAGCTCTTAGCTCTGCTTACATTGTTGCTGTTGTGAAACAGAAGACTGGGGGGGTGAGGGGGCGGGAAACCTCACTCAACAAATATTTGATCATGGAGATGTAATTCAGGAAGGTTACCATGACCCTAAACAACAAATAAACAAGTTAGTGGGTTTATTGCTTTACACTTTGTTATAAAATTAAACATCAAGCAACAGTAAATACCCCAAATTAAAATTACATCTTTAATTTGTCACTAAAAATCTTCACTTGTACCTACTGATACCTTTAGTTCTCTACTAAAGTAAAATATTTTATTAATTTCCTGACATTCTAAAGGAAGATGGAAAATTTCTTCTTCTATCTCAGAACTATCAATGGGGAAGTAAATACACCATCTTACTTATTATCATCCAGTTAAAAAGACCTTTGTCTTTGAAGACATATGCACATTTTCAGATTTAGATTGTGTCACAGTCTTTAAGTTTCCCTTCATGTTTTTCCACCTAGTTTTTGCACATTACTTAGTATTTATTCTAGTCTTCTGTGTGAGTAATCTTAGTGATAACTCAACTGCAAATGAAATAAAAAACAGCACCAAATTTCCAGCTTGTAATTAATTTCCAAATCTGTGAGAAACAGGTGAAATGAGAGGCGAAAAAAGTATCCCATACTTATGTACATGACTTAAGTCTTTGTGGATTACAAGAACAAACTTTCAGTTGGATTGATTTGCAAGTTTATTTAATCTTTAGCTATAGTGTGTAAGATATAAATATATATAGAATCAATGTGAGGATCAGTTATGATTTAGAGATGTAGGTTTTTGATTACATACATCTCAGGCTGTATTACTGGACTCATTAGTGCAACACAAATGTACATCCAGAGAAGTTTTCATTCAGAGACTGATCTTTTAAAGACTTTTGGGTAGTCACAGCACGAACCATTAGAGGAACTCGACTCACTCAGTTTCCATTGCAAATTCTTCAATTGCCATATTCCCAACCATGTACTGGTAATAATGACCTTAGAGGGATTATTTTTTAATGCAACCAGATTTGTCATATTTAGCCCACTGACTTATCAAAACTTGCATCTTTTGACTGGAGGGCAACTATTTAAATTTGATGCTTTAAAGGATGTTTCTAATATACCTGTCCAGCTGTTCCTTTGTATTTGGGGAAGTAGATGTGCTCTGGCAGGACCTTATGCTCCAGCATGTTCAAAAACAAATGCTAACAGTGCTCCTAAAGTTATCTCTATTTTCTTGTGATATTATCTAATCTGCAGGAATGAAATCTGTGGTTTACACTGTAAAGAAGAAGAGCACTAAAGAAAAAAAAAATTAACTTACCACTGCTAGTTTTTTCCCAATGCATTTTAAAAACTTGAATTTATCTGCAACTGCAACTCCACCCAGGTAGTCACCAAGCTGTTCCCGTAGCACTCTTAATGTGATGTGAGGAGACACCCTAGAATGTTGTTATTCATTAATACATCTGTAAGATCAAATAATGATGGCTAGTTAGTAAGAGGGGGAAGATAATACTATATACATGCTGGCCTGCATGGACAGAATGACCAAAAAAGGGAACTATGTCCTAGAACTAAACCTACTTACATATATGGCAGAGAGTCTTGGGGTGGTAGAGTCAGAACATTGTATCAGGTTGTGGTATTTGAATTACAAGGGCTGTCATAACATTAACTAGCAATATTCGTATTTTAGGAACCCCATACAGAGGGAGAATATGGAAGTAGCTGCAACTTGAAAACAACTCCTTCAGAACGCTCTTGCTCATCTGCAGATGGAGAACAAAACCATTGGAAACTAGAGTCATGCATTTCCATATAGGTGATGAAGTTTCATGGGGTTGGTCCAGGACTGTAGAACATACCCCTGGAAGCACTAAGGGCTAGAGGAGACTTCATCACTGTCCACTTTAAGTAGCAGGTACATTCCTTTGATTTTGTCTTCTCCAACACAAATTTAAGTTGGGTGTGTGCATGTGTACATGCAAATGTATTTTCAGTCAAAACCAAACACTGCAGTGTGAGCTTTTCCACCATAGTTTGAGGATGAGAGAGCTGATGCAAATACAAATTGCATCATTTAATGTGCTACTGGAAACCATGTAAATATTGAAGTAATAAGCTCAGAATAAAAATCACTATAGAATAAAAACTATCTCTGCAGAATAAAACCAAATGTGCAAGAGGCACACCAAAGCTCTGCAGCACAACATAAGCAATTCTAATTCCTCCTATGCTGCTATATAAAATAAACCAGAGAACAAATTCAGGCAGCTATCACTCTTCAAGCAATGCACAGACATAGCCTGGCGGATAGCACATGCCATTCTCAGTAACCAGTATAGACAAGAACATGCTGTCCCTTCACTTTGGAGAGGTCTTCAACATTAACCTGTCAGGGTTTGTTTGCACTTTCAAACAGCCCTATATGCCTTCATCTCATACCGTAGGTGTGTAAAAACACCCTCAGTTTCATCTCATAAACACAGTACTTCAACGGAAGGGTTACAACGCTTCCCTTGCACTATTTCAAACACCCTGGACTTACAGGACCCTCCTCAAGATCATAAATCTGCCTTGGAGCACAGGCATGCAGCAGAGGAGACCAGCGTCTGCAGGGTGAACACATCTAGGCCACACTGCTCAGTCCCTGTACATTTAGCTCCTGTTTATTTCTTCTGCAGCCATTTTTTGCCCACACTTGCTGCAGATATTAGCCCTAATGTCATTTATTTCAAATATATAAAGAAATATGTGAAGATGGATATATAATTCAATACACACCCTTCCAAGGTCTTATGTGAGAACAGAGATGATCTATAATTCAAATATCTGTCATTCACTATCATTTCTTTCAAGGTGATGTCTCAGAGAAGATACGCCCCTTGAATGGTCTTCTGAAACCCAATAAATGCAAGCTCTTTCAGCGGCAATTCTAACACTACACATCCTTCACTGATAATGCCTGCCCAAACGAGCAAGGAAATCTAAATCTAACGCATTTACAAACAGCAGGAAAAACATCTAAGTAACTACAATGTATCACTGGAGAAAATTAGCTAGGTATACAGATCCTGAGATATAGGACAGAAATTTATCTGAAAATTATTTGCCAGTGCAGCTGCTAGGAACAAATAATAATGTATTTCTTACTTGCTGCCACTGGCTAGCAGAAGACTAGTCACATCCGAGTCATTTGCTTCAGGGTGTTCCTTTAAAAGTAATGCAAACTAGAGTTCACTGCAGCCATCTCATCTAGAAATAACAAAAGTATGGCTTCTGTGGTGAGGAATGAGGAATAAATAAAAGATCACAGAGGCTGAGAAATCAAGTTCATGGGAACAAGAACTCAGGGCCATAGACAATTACACACTTAATATTTTCCTCTAATTTCATGATTAATGGAAATTACTTGTACTTAGACCTAGGAATCATTTGTTAAGCAGACTCAGACAGTACTAGGATTGTCAAGCTGACTGGACAGTGCTATCAACAACATCCAAACAGCATTAGTACCTGCAAGGCAGCTGTTCCCTCTCTTGGATTATAAGAAGAGAAGTTTTAAAAAATAGTTTTCAGTTTTTAAAGATGGTGACACACTAGCCGGGTGCTAGTTATTGCTAGTGCTAATGTACTGCAGCATTGCATTGCATAGTACCCATAGAATAATTAATTTGCAATTATTTAAGACTCATTAGCAAACAACAAATACCCAGACAGATATAAACCCAGGGAAATCACTGAGAATCCTCACTTAAGTTGATGCCTCAGCATTGAGCCTTAGCAAAATAAATTTACACTAGAGAAGAGAGGGCAATGACAAATGTCCAATCACATGAAACGATTTGAAGTTACCACTCCAGCTGTGTATTTTGCACCTCTGCTGGAGACTAGAACAGCAAACAAAATGGATACGTGCACTTATTTCCTCTGGTTTTGAGCAGCCTTTCATCAAAAGAAGCTGCGAGAATAAATACGTTCTGCTCTACATGCTCATACTTGACTGCTGTCAAATCTTTTCAGCTACACAGTATATTGTCTTAAGTGGACAATATAAGCCTAAATTTAAATCAGTTAAAACCCATATTCCCTGGCAGGTTTTGCACAGGAGCAGACAAGGTGCATGTAAAAGCTCTGTTTCAATACACATCTTCACATTATTTGATTTTTCTAGAACTTCTTACGACACTAGATACACACAGGTTTTGTGAGTAAAATGTTTAGGAGTATAAAATTAACTTTCAAAGTTATGAAAGATTAAAGCTGCAACTCTCTGTGCCAGGCTTGGGCCTAGGACTGGGAACCAGGGTGTTCTTTCACTAAGTTCTCTAAGCAGCTACCTGAGAGCACACAAAGCACATGGTGTTGGGTGCAACCTTTCAGAAATACTACTGAAGAAGAAAGAAGATAGGTTGGTGGTTGCATGAGCTGTAAGGCTTTCCCTTGAGATACATGGCTTAAGCTATTTCTTTGGACTGAGAGTGCTCAGATCATCACACCCCTGTTCCTGGGAATTGATAGGCTCTCCTGTCTTCATCAGGCCACTGTCTTGAAGCTGGCCCATTGCCAAAAAGAATTCAAGATTTTGATAATCAGGCTCAAGGGGACAGAAAGACTATAAAACTGTGATTTTACAGAAGAAATTATTCTGCAGAAATACTAGCACTGCTCTGGAAGTGCATTTCAATGGTCTACACCAAGGGCTGCAATGGACCTAAGCCTGATACAGTCCAAATAAATATAAGACTGGTCGTGGGCACCACTCACCCTCCAGAAATTATTGGAGAACAAGTCTCTTCTGACAGATGTAATTGTGCTCTATAGAGCAACAGATGGATTAAATGACTGAAGGACAATGTAAAGGACCTTCCACGTACATAAAGCCTAAGACTATACTCACCTTATAAATCCAGCTGAGATGAATTTGCTAGTAAGAGCTACAGGAACTGTATTCAGCTTGAAGTTCCACACTTCTTCTGGGACATAAAAAACATGGAGCTCCACCAACTAAATAAAGAACAAATGATCATAACTGTAAATATATTATAATCTTTTTTCTATATGCATTGTTTTGCTTAGGTGGACTTTCAATTTCTGGAGGCAGGAATGGTTTCTTTGATGTTAGCACATGGGCTAGAAGAGTGAGGCTCTATCTGAAAATGATGACTAGATGGTGAGAACAGGGATGAGTAGCACAATTTGTGATTGAATGCCAGCTGACAGGCAATCAAAATAAGTCACATTAGAACAAACTCAACAGTCGGAATGACAGAAAAGAACCTGTGCTGCTGCTGTATGTTGCTGTGACAGCAATGGACAGAGCTTACCAAAACCAGTTGATACTCTTGAGCGTGTCACAGTTATAAGAATACTTCAGTTGAAATCCTACTTTTGTTCACCTCATAAAAAATGCAAAGCCCAGAAAGCTTGATCCAAACAGCACCAAAACTAAGCTAGCAAGAAAAAAAAAATCAAAATATTTCTAACAGTAATAATATTAGCTACCTTGGAAGCACATAAATGCTCCTGGTAATGCCTGCAACAAGAGCAACTAAGCCTGCTCTGAGTAAGGTTCACTTAGATTGTGTTCAAACCTGTGGTAATTGTGGGACTGTTAGTGTCTGGGTATTGATATTTTTAGTGAAAATCAGATGGTATTGACAAAGACGATACTCTTCCCTGTAACTAGAATCCATGCAAATAAGCTGTATTAAATATTTCTGCAATTGTAGAGTTACTAAATATAAACTAGAAAAGAATGCTTTCTATATATACTATGTTAAAAGCTATGTTTTTTTCCTCTCAGGTCTCCTAAAAAAGGTACAGTGTAACTTATTTTAATTTTTTTTTATTTTTATTTGTGAAATCTAAAAAAACCTCTATGGAAAAGTACAAAATTTCTCACCTGCGATGTTCGAGGTCTCATTTGACTGAATGACATGTTGCTCCCTGTACTTGATCACAGCGAATGCCAGGTGGGCTTTCTAAGTTTATTTTTGATCAAAACATTCTTTAAGAATTAGTTTCATGATAATGTTACAAGAGAAGTTACTCCATTAATATCCTTTATTTTCATTTACTGTTCTTCTTTCCATTTATGAAAATGGAAGAGTTGTTCCTGTGCTGAGGCAGAAAACTTCGAGCTAACTGCGAACAGATTCAACCACACCTTCTACACAAGTGAGTATCACCTAAGTAACTGGGGGAGTTGCTAAATCACAGCCCTGCAGCTCCGAGAGATCTGCGCTGGAGTATTTCCTCTTAACATTTTCTCTCCTTTCATAAAAATACTTTGGTTGTATGTAATTTGCTACACAATTGTACCGTCTTCCTAGAGCCCGAGACCTAAATCCCCACAAAATGGGATTCTTGCAGGTTTTTTTTAATTTCTGGGTTTACCTCTGATAAAGGAACAATTATTGTGAACTGCAGCCAGGCCACATGCACAGCACATTGCCCCAGCCAAACACAGTAACTATCCCAAGGAAACCTGACTGTAGCCAGGCGACCATGTCAGAAAAATCCTTTCATAAACTAGAAACCATGGTTCTGCCCTACCCTTATGACTTTTCTCAGCGCTCTCACTTTGAAGGCTCTTCCAGCACCTCAGAGGTTACAAACCTCCTTCAG